GGAGTTTTCATTTCAAGTCAGATCATGGGGGTTAATTGTATTATATTAGATCACATCATAAAAGTGATTGTTGTTGTTGTTATGTGCCATGGAGTCGGTTCCAACTCACAGCGACCCTGCACAGAGTTTCCGACACTGTAAATCTTTATGGGAGCAGAAAGCCTCATTTTTCTCCCACGGAACAGCTGGTAGTTTTGAACTGCTGACCCTGAGATGATTAGCAGCCTGATTCATAACCACTACGCTACCAGAGCTCCTTTAAAGGAAGTGATAACTACATCTTAGTTACTTAAGAAGCCAATTTGACACAAAATGTTAACTATCACAAGGTAATGAAGAGTTCAGATTTGAAGTAAAGACAGATATTGTTGTTGTTGTTATGTACCGTGGAGTCGGTTCCGACTCATAGCAACCCTGTATAGGGTTTCCAAAGCTGTAAATCTTTATGGGAGCAGAGAGCCTCATCTTTCTCCCTTGGAACCGCTGGTAGTTTCAAACTGCTGACAGCGAGATTAGCAGCCTGATTCCTAACAACTACGCTACCAGAGCTCCTTAAAGACAGATATACGATGGAATTTCAGCTACCCTGGTTGTATAAATCTGAAAGGACTGGTTTAAAAAAATTGTTTTTTTTTTTGAATTGGGTGAAGGTTTACAGGACATATCATTAGTTTTACACTCAACAATTCATACATTGTTTCATATCATGATTTCACTTCTCTCCAGGTAACATCACTATTGCACTTCCTCCCCATGTTTCCTGTTTCCATTCCTCCTTCTTTCCTAATCCTTCTGAACTTTGTCCTGAACTTTGTCCGTGGGTAAATGCTGCTCTTTTCATCTCAGATTGTTGATTATTCTAAGGTGCGTGTACTTCACTAGTGTTGTTGCTCTCCTTATAGTACGGTTTGGTGCTGCAGGATAATGTACTAGATCACAAGGTCAATTTGAATAACAAAGGTCGATGGTTCAAACTCACCAGCCACTCCTCAGAAAACCCTGTACAGGGTCACTATGAGTTAGACCAGACTTAATGGCACTTAACAACAACAACAACAACATTGTTTAACTAAGGGCCATAGTCTCAGAGGCCCTACCAGTCCCTATCTGACCAGTAAGCCTAACCTTTTTATTTTGAGTTTTCTTCCACTCTATCTAGGACCTTCTAATGTGATCTTTTTCAAAGCAGTTGGTAGTGATAGCTGGACACCATCTAGTGCTTCTGGTCTCAGAGACTGATGTTCATGCCATTCATTAGTCCATTGGGCTAATTGTTTCCATATGTCTTCTATTTTCATCACTCTCCTCAGAACAAGGAGAGATCAGTAGCTGCAACTTACTTAAGAGCAATTAAGACTACAGCCACTACTGATAAAAATAAGATGTAGAACATTCTCTTTGTGGACTTTGTCATACCTGTTAATCTAGTTGTCCCCTGAGGTTATGTTCCTGAGTCCCCAGGCCCAGTGACTCATTCCCTCAAGGTATTTGGTTATGACTAAGAAATTTTCATAACTTTACCTCTTTATGCTCTGCCACATTCATATATTTACAGCAAAGATATATTGTTGTTGCTGTAAAGTGCCATCAAGCTGGTTCTGACTCATAGTGACCCTGCATAGGATTTCTGAGAAGCTACTTATGGGTTCGAACAGCTGACTTTGCAGTTAGCAGTCCAGTACTTATTATCCAATAGTGCCACATCAGGACTCCAGTAAATACCTGTGTACAAATATTCTCCTTCAAACCTATATTTGTGGGCATACTCCCATTCTCCCTGCCATGCTTTGATAGTGGGTATTGACAGCTAGGCACCAGCTAGCTGTTCTGGTCTCAAAATCACAGAGATTTAAGTGCACGTCATCCATTAGTCTATTGGACTAATTGTTTCCATATGTCTTCCGTTTCCATCACTCTTTTCTCAGAACAGGGAGAGAACAAGAGTTGCACATTAGATGGCTGCTCAGGAGCACTCAAGTCTCCAGCCACTACTCATAAAAGTAAGATATAGAACATGCTCTTTGTGGCTATGTCATGCTTGTGGATCTTAGTGTGCCCTGAGGCTATGTTCCTGAGTCCCTACATCCAGTGACTCAGTCCCTCAATATGTTTGGTTATGAATAAGACGTTTTCATAACTTTTCCCCTTTTATGTTCCACCACTTTCATATATTCATATGTCATTGTTGTTGTTAGGTCCCATCATGTTAGTTCCAACTCATAGTGAATCTATGCACAACAGAATCAGCCAGGTCCTGTGTCATCCTCACAATTGTTATGATTGAGCCCACTGCAGCTGCCATATGCCAATCCATCTGATTGGTGGTCTTCCTGTTTTTTGCTGACCCTCCACTTTACCAGCATGATATCTTTCCCGAGGGACTGATGTGAATTGATAGCATGTCCTAAGGAGCATTCTGGTTGTACTTCTTCAAACACAGATTCGTTTGTTCTTCTGGCACTCCATGATACTTTCAATATTCTTCTTCAACATCATGGCTCAAATGCAACTACTATTGTATGGTCTTCTTTATTCACTATCCAACTTTCAAATGCATATAAGGTGATTGAAAATACTATAGCTGGGTCAGGTACACCTTAGTTCTCAAACTTAGTTCTCTGTCTTTTCTCTTGAACACTTTTAAAAGCTTTGCCTAGGGCAATACTGTCATTTGATTTCTTGGCTGCTGCTCCCATGAATATTGATTGGGGATGTGAACAAAATGAAGGCTTTAACAACGTCAATCTTTTCTCCATTTATCATGATGTTATTTTTGGTCCAGTGTTGAGGATTTTTGCTTTCTTTATATTAAGGTGCAACCCATACTGAAGGCTATGGTCTTTGATCTTCTTCAGTAAGTATTTTAAGTCCTCTGCACTTTCAGCAAGCAAGGTTGTATCATCTGTATATCACAGGTTGTTAGTAAGTCTTCTTCCAATCCTGATGCTATGTTCTTCTTCATATAATCCACTTTCTCGAACTATTTGCTCAGCATACAGACTGAATAAGTATGGTGAAAGAATACAGCCCTGCACACACCTTTCCTGTTCCATTCAGTATCCCCTTGTTAGAACAAATGACTGCTCTTGTTTTATGTACAGGTTTCTCATGAGCACAATTAAGTGTTCTGAATGACCCATTCTTTGCAAGGTTATCCATAGCTTGTCATGGAGCCTTTGCATAGTCAATAGAGCACACATAAGCATCTTTCTGGTATTCTCTGTTTTCAGCCAATGATATCATGTCACCAATGATATCCTTAGTTCACCATCCTCTTCTGAATTTGGCTTGGATTTCTGGCGGTTCCCTCTCAATGTATTGTTGGAGTTGTTTTTTTAATTATCTTCAGCAAACTTTTACTAGTATGTGATATTAATGATATTGTTAGATGATTACTGCATTCTGTTGGGTCACCTCTTTTTGGAATGGGTATGAACATGAATCTCTTCCAATCAGTTGACCAGGTTTCTGTCTTCCAAATTTCTTGGTATAAATTACTGAGTGCCTCCAGTGTTTCTTCAACTTGTTGAAAGATTTCAATTTGTATTCCATCAATTCCTTGAGCCTTGTTCTTTGCCAATGTCTTCAGTGCACCTTGGACTTCTTCCTATAGTATCTCTGGCTCTTGAACATCGACCATTTCTTTTGGGTACAATGATGCTGTGTATTCCTTCCATCTTCTTTTGATGCTTTCTGCATCATTCAATATTTTGCCCATAGAATCCTTCAGTATTTTGGGAGGACTCTGTTCATCACCAAAACCCACTGCCATGGATTCGACTCAGATTCATAGTGACCCTGTATGACAAATAGAGCTTGTTCCCTAGGAAATCTTTACCGGAGCAGATAGTCTCATCTAGCTCCTGGGGAGCTGTTAGTGGCCTTGAACCACCGACCTTGTTTGTAGCAGCCCAAGGCTTAGCCTACAATGCCTCTAGGGCCCCTCAACTCATCAAAAGCAAACAAACAATACAACACTACCATCAGTGGATTACTACTCAAAACGATCCCGTATAAGGTTCCCAAGTATAAGGTTCCCAAGGCTGTAATTCTTCACGAGGTTAAGTGGAGTTATCCAGCCAGTAGGAAGGAGTGGGATTTTGAGAGTAAGGGATTTTCCTAGTGGAGGGCTGTAAATGAAAGGTGGGTCGGCCAAAGTTGTGCGATAGAGACGTGAGCCTGTAGTCTGAATCTAGGTGTACTGGATGCTGCTGGAGGTGGAAAGGGTTAAAGATGTCTTCATTCCTTTAAAAGCTCACTCTGGTACACGCACACACGGGCACACACACACACACACACATGCGAGCAGCTAAAGAGAAAGCCATTCTTTGGAAATCTGAAAGATTACTGCAATTCAGTTATTTCTATTGTCTTTCCCCCTTTATTATCCTAATATATGAATGAAGGCATCTCTGCTCTGGTGCCTAGCAATCAAGGGGAATGAACCAATTTCTGCTAGAGTAACGGTGGAGGCCACGGGGGCCCCCGCCTCTGCCAGCAGTTAGCAGCTGGAATGTCTCTCAGCTTGAAATGATTCTTCCTCCCGCGAGAACCTCAGGAATGCAGGCGGGCCTCACTTTACAGCGAGCGCTGGGCAGAGCAGAGAGTGCTGGGTTTTCCTTTTGGGGGTTTTGTGAACGTGAGCTGAGCTCAGTAAAGAACACAGCACCAGGAAATGCGCTTTACAAGGTCTCTATGGTCACTACAGTGAACCCACTAGTTGGAACCCGGACTGGAAAATAAAACCAAAAATCCAGAACCGGAAAGGTCTGCATACAAGGGCGGGCCGCGGACTCACTCCTGGAGTAGGGGGTGGTGGCAGAAGAGCCCGCTTGCTAGCCAATCGCGCCCCCTCCCGGGGAGGAAGAGGCGGAGTCGGGGCCGCCCTCCGGACTCCTCACCTCTCACTACCGCGCCCACGTTTGAACCCGCTAGGGCTTTTAGGCGCCCCGACAGCAGCCTACTCCCCGGCGCCGGCCTGGGACGTGCCCTTCCTCCCACAGACATGGCTTCGGGCGCTGCTACTACGGCCGTGAAGGTAAGGTTAGCCGTCCCTGCGACTGCAGTCCGCCCTGTGCAGTCCGGTTCCGGGGGACCGCGCCGGTGTGTGGCCGTGAGCCCCAGCTGCGGCTCCGATGGTCTAGGGCACTGCACCCGGGGAAAGGCGGAGTGTGTTTGCGGACTAACCCCCCACCTTCGGCCCATTTACTCCCACATCTGCTTGGCGTAAGTCCAGTCCCTTAGCACCACTCCTCTCCCCGGGGATGTGCTGGGCTGGAGCTAACGGGTGGCCCAAGGGGCTGCGTATCCGCAACTGGGGCGACTAACTACGTGTGTCTAGTTCAACTCGCGTTTCCGCTCCCTTACTCCCGCGGCCCACGTGGGAGAACTGCGTACTTGCTCTTCTGCATGCTTCCGGCCTTTCTCCTCCAAATGTTAGGCCTTCTCTGCTAAAGTTTTCTCTAGCCAAGCAATGCCGTGGAGCTTCTGAGACTTCTTTTGGGTTTGTTTTTAAAATGCTAGAAGTAGTCCTGTCTCGCCTACCATGTGTTGAGGCTTTGTTTGCCACCCTAAAAGTTCGAACTCGGTTTCCGCTAGTCTTTAGTCCGCGGGGGTTTCTGCACCAGGGCTCTTTGTGCGGCGGGAGCTTTTTGGTCAGAGGAGTGAAGGTTGCTGCGAGCCTCCTTGGGGCGATAAACACTTTGCTGGTTGATGTCTGCAGAGTGTGTGTGTGTGTGTGTGTGTGTGTGTGTGTGTGTGTGTGTGTGTGTGTGTGTAGAATTACATTGTAGAAGGGGAAATTGATGATAAAACTTAAGACCTCTTCGGTAGTTTTTTGTTGGCTACGAACGCAGTGAACTTGTTTGGCTTTTAAAAAATCTTTGCGGCTAGGCTTAGAAGGTCCTTGGCCGTCGCACGGTGTTCAGGTCTCTGGAGTGAAGGCCGAAGGCAGAAGGTGGTCTGTGCAATCAGACAGGGTGATTAGCACCTTGAATGAGGGACTGGGTGTGTTGCAATCAGACTTAGCTGTGAAACTGCTTTTGCTGTTTTGGAAAAGAATCTTGCTTTCAAATATTTATAGAACCTGTACCTGGCTTGGGGGTTAGACAGAAAGGGTTTTCCTGAAGCTCATGGGCAAAGTGAGTGAGTTCTTTAGGTGTTAGGGGAAAGGACTGCAGGGTTTGTTAGGAAGGTTAGAGTTCTATTTGTGTAGCAGAGCCCCTGGGTCGATTCGGATTGAAAGATTAGAGGTTCTAGTGCTCCAGAGAGTCCTGGGAGGAAAAGCCTGGAGATAACTTACAAAAAATCAGCCGTTGAAAATGCTATGGAACCTAATCCTACATTGACGCACTGGAGGTCACTATGAGTGGAAACTGACATGGCAACTGGCGGGTCTGTCTAGCACATGATTGAAGCTAGTGCTTATTATCGAGGAGCGCTGATAGCACAGGGACTACAAGCTTGGCTGGTATCCACAAGATCAGTAGTTCTAATCTTTCTGCTCCTTTAAAGATTTACAGCCTCAGAAACTGCATACAGGGTCGCTATGAGTTGGAAGCAACTCCGTGGCATATACCCAACACCAATGCCTTATTATCAGGGAAGGAGTCATAGGACTGGACTACTAATCACAAGATCAGTTGTTCAAACCCACCAGCCTCTCATTGGAAATCCTCTACAGGGTCACTATGAGTCAGAACTGACTCAGCTGCACTTAACAGCAGTGATCAGGGAAGAGCTATCTATGGTGGTGGTACAATGTTGAAGGACTCAACTGTTACCAAAGACTAGCAGTTCAAACCTACCAGCGGCTCAACGAAGGAAAGGCCTAGTGATCTGCTGTAAACATTACTATGATTAGTGATGTAATCTTTTCTCAAAGAGTTAAACAAATTATGGCTTCATTGGCCAAATAATTTACTTAAAGTGCTGTTAAAAACAGTGCAGTGCTATGGAAGCTGGTGTCCCTTAAATCTGGCTCAGATTTCTCCCTGTCACACTGCTTTCCCTGAGAAATTAATGCAGTATATTTGAGTACAGAATGGGCGCTGATTAGATCACTGATGTAAATATTGGATGATGGGTATTTTGGGTCTTGGCAAGCTGCTGAATAGAAAACTCAGAAGCACAAAGAGTGCTGGGCCTGCCTGCAGATTTGAGGCATGACACCTTGTCTATTTAGAAGCCAGAATGCCACCACCATTCCTCTCAGGCTCTGGAGACAACCTCCTTAATAGACAACAGAGACGCTGGTGCTCAGGGCAAAAAGAAACTAACAAAAACCATGTTCTAGCCCCAAATCATAGGATAGTGTAGCTGAGTGTTCCTTGAGAACCATATAGCCACCCTCGCCCCCTGGTGCTATCGGATAGATCTGTATTGGACTACTGGTGGGAAGTTCAAACCCATCAGCAGAAACCCTATCCAGAGTTGCTATGAGTTGAAACCGGTTCAACAGCACCTACTATCAACAACAGCCCCCTGTGTGCAGACATGAGACTAAGGCCCATTAAGGCCAACTTCCTTGTTTAGTGACAGAATTGGCCCTAGAACCTGGCATTACACCAGTTAGATGTGGTAAGGATTTCTGAAATCTGGCATGTGATTACTCCTTGTTGTATATTGTAAGTAATGAGTAAACCCAACCCAGCAAAGTCCATTTCCAAAGCATGGACCCAAAAGACTTCAAAGAAGGGACACTAACAGATACTGGTAAACGAATGCTCATTGCAGCACTATTGCCAAAAGGGAGAAACAACCAAATGTCCATCAACAGATGAGTAGATGAATAAAATGTGGTATACTCATGTACAGTGAATTTTATTGTTGTTGTTAAGTACCATCGAGTCGATTCCGACTCAGCAACCCTGTGCACAACAGAATGAAACACTGTCTGGTCCTGCGCCATCCTCACACTTGTTACATTTGAGCCCATTGCTGCTGCCACTGGGCCAATCCATCTCATTTGGGGTTTTCCTCTTTTTCACTGACCTTCCACTTTATTGGTAAAATGCTGCCCTTCTCCAGGGACTGGTCACTCCTGATAATATGTCTGAACTATGAGAGATGAAGTTTGGCCATCCTAGCTTCTAAAGAGCATTCTGGCTGTATTTCTTCCAAAACAAATTTCTTTTCTTCTGGTAGTCCATGGTTCTTTTAATATTATTCTCCAACACCATAATTCAAATGCATCATTTCTTCTCCAGCACCATAATTCAAGTGCATCATTCTTCCTTATTCATTGTCCAACTTTCACACATGCACATGAGGTAGTTGAAAATACCATGCTTTCAATCAGGTACACCTTAGACCTCCAACTGGTATTTTTGCCTTTGAACATTTTAAAGAGGTTTTCTCTAGCAGATTTGCCTAATCCAATATGTTATTTGATTTCTTAACTTCCGTGAATCTTGATTGTGGAGCAAAATGAAGTCTCTGACAGCTTCAATCTTTTCTTCATTTATCATAATGCTATTTGTTGGTACAGTATTCAGGATCCTTGTTTACTTAAATTGAGGTACAATCCATACTGAAGGCTGTAGTCTTCAATCTTCATCACTTAGTCTTTCACATTTTTTTCACTTTCAGCAAGCAAGGTTGTAGCAGCTGCATATCGCAAGTTATTAATTAGTCTTCCTCCAATCCTCATTGCCATGTTCTTCGTCATGTAATCCAGCTTCTCAGATCATTTGTTCAGCATACAGATTGAATAAGTATGATGAAAGAATACAACCCTGACACACACCTTTCTTAATTTTAAACCATTCAATATTCCCTTGTTCTGTTTTAATGACTGCCTCTTGCTCTAAGTACAGGTTCCTCATGAGAACAGTTAAATGTTCTGGAATATCCATTCTTTGCAGTGTTTTCCATAACTTGTCATAGTCCACACAGTCGAGAACCTTTGCATAGTCTGTAAAGCACAGATAAACAGCTGTCTGATATTTTCTGCATTTAGTCAAGATCAGCATGATATCCCTAGTTCCACATCCTCTTTTGAATCCAGCTTGAATTTCTGGCAGTTTCCTGTTGATGTACTGTTGCAACCATTTTAAATTATCTTCAGCAAACTATTCTTGCATTGGATACTAATGATATTGTTGCAATGATTTTCACTTTCCGTTGGGTCTCCTCTCTTTTGAATGGACACATATCTCTAACAATCATCCAAAGTTCTTGACTCAGATGATTGAGCACTTCCACTGCTACCTCAATTTGTTGAAAGATTTCAGTTTGTATTCCATCAATTCCTGGAGCCTTGTTTTTCACCAATGCCTTCAGTGCAGCTTGGCCTGCCTCCTTCAGTACCATTGGTTCTTGATCATATGCTACCTCTGGAAATGGTTGAACATCGATCATTTCTTTTTGGTTCAGTGATTCTATGTATTCCTTCCATCTTCCTTTGATGCTTTCTGCATCATTCAATATTTTGCCAATAGAATCCTTCAGCATTTCAAGTGGAAGCTTGAATTTGTTCTTCAGCTCTTTCTGCTTGAATAATGCTGAGCATATCCTTCCCTTTGGGTTTTCTCCAGGTCCACATTTTAATACTTGATGGATTTCACACTGAAAAAGTTGATAGAATTCTTAATTGCTCATCACTGGCTTTAGTGGTTGGTGTGTAATTTTGAATAATAGTAGTGTTAACTGGGCTTCCTTGTGACATATGCATAGTATCCTGTCACATGCATCCTGTGTTGTACTACAAGATAAATTCTGGAATGTTCTTTTAGATGATGAATGCAAATGATAATCCTCTTTAAATTGTCACTCCCAGCACCGTAACCCTGTGATTATCTGATTCAGTGTGGCCAATACCATCCATTTCAGCTCACTAATGCCTAGGATATTGATCTTTTTGCATTCCATTTCATTTGTGACAACTTCCAATTTTCCTAGATTCATACTTGGTACATTCCATGTTCTTATTATTAATGGATGTTTACACCAGTCTTTCCTCATTTTGAGTTGTGCACTATCAGCAAATGAAGTCCCAAAACTAGTCATGTCATTAGGGTTCATTCTACTTTGAGGAGG